CTTCCTTGACCTGGCAGAAGTGCACTTCTGAAGGCAGTTGCACGGAACAGAGTGGCTCGGTTGTCATCGACTCAAACTGGCGCTGGACCCATTCTGTCAATGATAGCACCAATTGCTACACTGGCAACACCGTGAGTTTGACTGGCACCTATGTGCTGCACTGGCTGACGCACATCACAGTGGGATTCAACTCTCTGCCCTGACGATGAAACCTGTGCGACCAACTGCGCCCTGGACGGAGCAGACTACGAGTCCACCTACGGTATCACCACTGACGGCGATTCATTGACACTAAAATTCGTCACTGGTTCCAATGTTGGCTCGCGTGTGTATCTCATGGACACGAGTGACGAGAAATACCAGACGTTCGACTTGCTTGACGCAGAGTTCACTTTTGACGTCGATGTGTCTAACCTCCCATGTGGATTGAATGGCGCGCTGTACTTCACTGCAATGGACGCCGATGGTGGAACCTCAAGGTACCCTGCAAACAAGGCCGGAGCCAAGTACGGGACAGGATACTGTGACTCCCAATGTCCGCGAGACCTAAAGTTCATCAACGGAGAAGTATGTAGTCCTTGAAAGCCTCCTCAAAGCTTATATGCTAACCTGAACCAGGCCAACGTCGATGGCTGGGAACCTTCTAGCAACAATGACAACACAGGTATCGGCAACCACGGTTCTTGCTGCCCTGAAATGGATATCTGGGAAGCCAATAAGATCTCGACCGCATTGACACCCCATCCCTGCGACAGCAGCAGCCAGACCATGTGTGAGGGTAACAACTGCGGTGGAACGTACTCGGATGATCGCTACGGAGGTACGAGTACCTAGATAAAAGCTCGAGCTGGATGTTTTGGCTAATCCAATCACAGGAACCTGTGACCCTGACGGCTGCGACTTCAACCCCTATCGCATGGGCAACGAATCTTTCTACGGTGCTGGCAAGATCGTTGACACCGGATCCAAGATGACGGTTGTGACCCAATTCATCACTGATGGCTCCAGCTCTCTCAGCGAGATCAAGCGTTACTACGTGCAGAACGGAAAAGTTATTGCGAACGCCGAGTCCAGCATCTCTGGAGTGACCGGAAACTCGATCACAACGGACTTCTGCACTGCGCAGAAGAAGGCCTTTGGCGACGACGATGTGTTCGCTGCACACAATGGACTTGCTGGAATCAGTGATGCCATGTCTTCCATGGTTCTGATCTTGAGCTTGTGGGATGATTACTATGCCAGCATGGAGTGGCTCGACAGTGACTATCCCGAGAACGCCACCGCTACCGACCCAGGTGTTGCACGCGGAACATGCGACTCGGAGTCGGGCGTCCCTGCCACAGTCGAGGGGGCGCACCCTGATGCTTCGGTAACCTTTTCGAACATCAAGTTCGGTCCCATCAACTCGACCTTCAGCGCTTCCGCATAAGCTGAAGCGCTGGGCTCAGAGCCTCAACTACTCCCCCAAGCCGGACATAGCAGGACAGGTTCCTGGAAGGGAATTCGGGAGTCTTGAGGTTTGTAAATAGTCCGAAAAGTGGCCACTGCTTTTGTATATCGGGCTGCCTTCGTTTACTTTTCGTTCACTCCAAATTGACTGATGCAGACTTTGTTTCTTGTTTTTTTCTTGTTTTCCTCCAATTCATGTTGAAACTTTTGTACTTCACTTCACATTCGCTTATTTTCTGTTTTGAGTCCACTCAATTCTAGAGACAATTATTTTTTGCTAGTCCCGACCTAATCAGCCCTGCATAGATAGCAAACTGATAAAGTAGCCTTAAGCCTAAACTCTATGGCCAACCGACCCCGGAAGATCCGTCGGCCCGCTCACTCCGAGACTGATCGGCTCCGCCAGCCTGCAGCTGCAAGCTCCGCCAGTCAAAAAACTGCGGCATAGGTTCGCCCTCGTGCAATTGCTCATTCCCCGCAATGTTCGACACCGTCTGCACCCTTCCGCTATCAGCGGACCTGTTCTCCCAGGCCCTGCACCCCAAGGAGCCCGTTGTGTCCGTGGGTCTCTCCTCCGGCCACGTCCAAACATTCCGACTCCCCACCGACGAAGCGGCCAGCGACGACGACGAGACGTCGAATGCCTCGTCACGCAATGGCAGAGGACACATTGATACGATGTGGCGGACGAGACGCCACAAGGGTAGCTGTCGGTGCTTGACGTTCGGAATTGATGGCGAGACGCTCTACTCGGCCGGAACGGACGGACTGATCAAGGCCGCGAAGGCGGAGACGGGTGTTGTGGAAAACAAGATTGCTATTCCTACGATGAAGAATGGGTAGGATATGAATCCCCTTCCATATGTGGTTGGATGGGGACTCAATGGCTCATTGTATTGGCTTTTAGATCCATCGATGCTCCCACTATCATTCATGCGCTTTCCCCTCAGACTCTCCTTCTTGCGACCGATTCCAGCGCCCTCCACCTCTACGATCTCCGCATACCCTACTCCAAGGTTTCCGCAAAGCCTGAACAATCTCATCACCCCCATGACGACTACGTTTCGTCGCTTACGCCTCTTCCGGCCTCCGATACCAGTACCTCGGGGTTCAGCAAGCAATGGGTGACCACGGGTGGTACGACCCTGGCAGTTACGGATCTGCGACGGGGTGTGCTTGTTCGCAGTGAGGATCAGGAGGAGGAGTTGATCAGTTCGACGTATATTGGCGGATTGGCGGCCAGTGGCACGAGTCGCGGCGAGAAGGTGCTTGTGGGAGGGTCTAGCGGTGTTCTTACGCTCTGGGAGAAGGGCGCGTGGGATGACCAGGACGAGCGGATCTATGTGGAGCGTGGAGATGGTGGTGGAGAGTCCCTCGAGACCATGGCTGTTCTGCCGGACGAATTGGGCAAGGGCAAGGTGGTCGCCGTCGGCCTGGGCAGTGGTAAAGTCAAGTTCGTGCGGATCGGCCCTAATAAGGTCGCCTCGGAGGTTATGCATGATGAGACTGAGGGCGTGGTTGGCCTGGGTTTTGACGTTGAGGGGCGCATGGTCACTGGTGGTGGACAGGTGGTGAAGGTTTGGCATGAGGCTGTTGTTGGTGCTGATAGATACGGGGCAATGCCGGGAGAGAAGCGCATGTATGGCGACAGTGACGATAGCGATGAAGGTGATGACAGTGATGACGACTCGGATGACAGCGACGCCGGCGGCCGCCAGGAAAAGGCACAGAACAAGCGCAAGAAGACGAAAGCCAAGGGTAAGGGTGGACAGCAAATCATGGCTTTCGCTGACTTGGATTAACTGGAATCGAATGTGGTTTATTGATACCCTAAGCGGGAGGTTATGCATAGCATTGGTGTCGGGAAAACAAAACTGGGAGTGTGTTTTGCAAATACGTACTCAATGATGCTAATATCTCTAGATGATCAGCCATAATTGTGACCCAGCTTCTAAGAACTAGTGTGTCGCATCGTAGCCGAGAAAGCTAGTGTATCTCGCAACCATGCTCCAGTCGCATGAAATCCAGGCACAAAGAACTACGGTTGTACACAGCCTTGTCAGCTACTAGTTTAAGGCCAGCAGCTTCAACTGTCCAGGGATCAACTGTTGTATTAGACTGTCTTGGCAGCAGGGGGAACAACATAAAGGATGATAATAAGCGCCAACCAGCCTACAAACCATCTCACATAAGCCATTGTATCCCATACCCTCCCATCATCATCATACACCCCCAACCGCAATGCCAGGGACCATCCTCCTCACCGGAGCCAACAGCTCTCTTGCCATCCCAGCAGTCCATCACTTCCTCACTAAATACCCAGACTACACTCTCGTCCTCACCGTCCGCAACCCTTCCACTTCGGACCCCAACACCAAGCGTCTCAACGACACCATAACGCCCTTCTTCAATCCAAGCACCTCAATCCGAAAACTAGACCTCTCCAACCTCTCCGAGGTGACTACATTCGCGCAGGCTGTAGCCACTGAAATCAGCAATGGCACATTGCCCCCTCTAGCAAGCATCATCTGCAACGCATACTACTGGAACCTAGCTAGCGAGGTCGAAACAACTGCCGATGAGCTGGATAAGACCTTTCAGGTGAACCATATCGCTCACGCCTCGCTAGTACTGCGTCTGCTAGGTTCATTCGGACCAGACTCTGGACGGGTTATTCTCTTCGGTAGTGATGCTCATTGGCCCGGTAAGAATGGATTGGAGAAGTATCCGCCTACCATTCCAGAGGATCTGGATGTGCTGGTGAAACCGACCAAGAAGGCGGGTGAGGATGTTAGGGGGAAGGGGTTCTATCAGTATGCGGTGTCAAAGTTGGCGATTATTATGTGGATGTATGCGCTGAATGGGCAGTTGATTCAGGTATTATCTTGCTTCCTTGCAGTCTTCTGGATATTCAAAACCGAGTATACTGACATCGGGATTAACATCAGGATGACAATCTAAAGCACATCAAAGCTGTAGCTATCAACCCAGGCAACCTGAGTGATTCTCGCGCGCTGCGCACCAACACGCCGCTAATTCTTAGGATCATCTCCCGTCTCATAATCCAGCCACTCCGGCCACTGTTGAGACTACTTGACCCGACTATGCGCACGGCTACGGAGGCCGGGGAGGATGTGGTTGAGTTGGCCGTGGGTGAGAAATATGCGGGGGAGGCGGGGTACTTCACTCTTCTGAAAAAGGACGAGAGTTCTCCTGAGAGTCAGGATGGGGAGAAACAGGGGAAGACCTGGAAGAAGACGTTGGAGTGGGCGCAGGTCAGCCCTAAGGATACGGTGTTGAAGCTGGAGTAGAAGGAATTGCAGTTTAGGACAACTACACACTGTGCCATAACTATCATACTCAATAATCGAAGTCTATTTCTTAAACCAAATATTCACCGAATACTTATCACTGAAGTTTATCGAATATCAGTTCATAGTATAGTATCGGCATGAATAACAACCAACTGCCGAGCCCCTCCACGGGCGACCCACGGCAAAGGCCTTTGCCCCAATAACTTCATGACGTTTGCTCCGGATCGGTGGGGTGTGGGGGATTATTCATGATGATCAAGCTTCGTCGGCTGTTCGGGTTCCTAGAATACCAATTCATGGGTCGATCTAGGCAAAGATATATACCGATCATGATTCTCAGTTGAGTTTCCCTCCCCCGCTATCCTCATCTCTTCCCCTCATCCACAACTCCAACCATCACCATCACCACCACAACCACCATGGACTCCTTCGAATACAACGCCAACCCCGGCCGAGTCATCTTCGGTAGCGGCACATTGAAGAAGCTCCCCGACGAGCTCGCCCGCCAGAACCTCAAAGCACCTCTCCTCCTCTCGACCCCGCAGCAAGTCTCCCAAGCCGAGAATGTCAAGACCGTCCTGAACGGCCAAGTGGCCGGCATTTTCACCGAAGCCACCATGCACACTCCCACCCACATCACCGACAAGGCATTGAAATATGCCAAAGCCCAGAGCGCCGACTGCGTCGTCTCCATCGGCGGTGGTAGCACCATCGGCCTGGGCAAAGCCATCAGCATCCGCACAGGACTGCCGCATATCTGTATCCCGACCACCTACGCAGGCAGTGAGATGACACCGATTCTGGGTGAAACAGCCGACGGATTGAAGAAGACTCGCTCTGACCCGAAGATCCTCCCGGGTACTGTGATCTACGATGTGGACCTTACTATGACTTTGCCGGTGGCCATGAGTGCGACGAGCGGTGTTAATGCCATCGCGCATGCAGGTTAGTCCTACCCAACACCATCCAATACTAGAACTAAACTAACACAATCGACCACCCAACAGTGGAAGCCCTCTACGCCCGCAACACCAACCCCGTGATCAACCTCATGGCCCTAGAAGGCACCCGGGCCCTCGCCTCCTCCCTCCCCGAAATCGTCCAGAACCCTAGCTCGCCCTCCGCCCGCTCCTCCGCCCAATACGGCGCCTGGCTCTGCGGTACCTGTCTCGGCAGCGTAGGCATGTCCATCCACCACAAGCTCTGCCACACGCTCGGCGGAAGCTTCAACCTGCCCCATGCGGAGACGCACACGGCGGTGCTCCCGCACGCTATCTCCTACAATGCGCCGAAGATCCCCGAGGCGATGAAGAAGTTGGCCGAGGCGCTACCGGAGAGTAACGGGGATGCGATCCACGGGCTGAATGTCCTGTTGGAGAAGTTGCAGGTTAAGCGTGGATTGAAGGACTTTGGTATGAAGGAGGAGGATATTGATAAGGCGGCGGATATTGCGGTTAGCAACCCATACTGGAACCCTAGGGAGATTCAGCGTGAGCCGATTCGGGAGTTGATTCGGAGGGTGTGGGCTGGGGAGCCGGCGAGGGCGGACTTGTAGATTAGATTCTTAGAGAGGGTTGCATGTAAATAAGTAGTGGGTGTGTAGAGTTCAACTCTATATGTGAATTATAAATACTACATTCTATGTAACACTTTCTCTTTAACTAAAAGAATCCTACACTTCTACATACATAGCAAGTAAGATATGGCACCATAATCACCTCCGTAATCCATCCTACCGCGATTGGCCTTCACCGTTCGCGAGCGGACGGATGGCGGGGTGAAAGTGGGGTGGAAGTTTGCCCGCCAGAATGAAAATCAACTCCGAACTAATTTTGCAACCCATCCCACTCTCCTCACCCCTCAATCCAACTCTACACTTACCACCAAAAACACACACACATTCTAGCCTCCCCCACCATGGGCGCCGATATGGAGGCCGCCCCGGTCCTCTCCACCCCGGATGACCGCATCCTCGAAGAAGCAGCAGCGGTCCCGAACCGCAGCGGTCCCGTCTCCGACGAAGAAATCGCCATCACATATGACATTGAACGCACGCTGAGGGAGATCCGCCAGGCGCGGTACAAGCGCATTGCGCTGCAGTTTCCGGATGATATGCTCCCGGATGCGCCGAGGGTGTTCCAGCTTCTGAGTCGGGGGTTGGATTCTACTACGACGACGCGAGAGGGTGCTCGTCAGAGTGCGGGGACGGAGGAAGAAGGGAAGGATCTGGCTGAGTCGGTGGCTCAGTTGAAGGTGGATGAGGCTGAGCCTGCGCCTAGGCTGTATATCCTGGCCGATACGTCCTACGGAACTTGCTGCGTGGATGAGGTGGCGGCGGAGCATGTGGATGCCGATGTGGTCGTGCATTACGGCCGGTCGTGTTTGTCGCCGACGGCGAGACTTCCTGTGATTTATGTGTTTACGCATAAGGAGCTGGCGTTGGAGAAGGTGGTGCGTGCGTTCAAGGAGACGTATCCGGAGTTGGATACGAAGGTTGTTTTGGCTGCTGATGTGACTTATTGTGATCATGTCCCTGCGCTGTATGAGGCTCTGGTGAAGGAGGGGTATACGAATTTGTTTGCGACGGAGGTGCTTCATGACCCTTCGTCGGCTATTCCGAACCGGACGGTGCCGGAGACGGTGCGCGAGAGCCCTGAGTCTCTGGCTGAGTGGCAGCTTTTCCATATCTCTGATCCGCCTACGGCGCTGCTGCTTACCCTTGCTTCTCGCGTGGCGGCTATCTATATCTATCCTACGGATAAGCCGGGGCAGGATGTTAAGCCCCTGCCCGCGTCTACGGCTGCTGCCTTGCGTCGTCGCTATGCTATCCTGACGTCCTTGAATACTGCCCCGATCTTTGGTATCCTGGTCAACACGTTGAGTGTGAAGAATTACCTGCATATTGTGGATCATGTTCGGGAGCGCATCGCGGCGGCCGGGAAGAAGAGTTATCTCTTTGTGGTGGGCAAGCTGAATGCGGCCAAGGTGGCTAACTTCAGTGAGATCGGCGGCTGGGTGGTCATCGGGTGCTGGGAAAGCTCGCTCGTTGATAGTCGCGATTTCTGGAAGCCGGTTATCACGCCGTTTGAGTTGGAGCTTACCCTGAAGGGGGATACGGAGCGGGTCTGGACGGGAGCCTGGCAGAGTGACTTCCAGACGGTCCTGGATCAGTCTGCTGCTGAGGCAGAGAATGGAGATGCGTCGACAAATGATGCTGCGAACGGGGAGGATGAGGATGAGATGTCCGAGCCCGAGTCGGCTCCGCCAGAATTCGACTTGCGCACTGGCCGGTATGTCTCGCATTCCCGGCCCATGCGAAACCCTGCACCCCGCGTTTCTGCCTCAGGAGAAGAAGGTGCTGCCTCGTCAGCATCAGCTGGAGGTCCATCCGCAGCGCGAGCTCTGGCCAGACGGGCCAAAGGGGATCTGGCGATGATCGGCGGAACCATCTCCCCTGGAGCGGAGTTCCTTCGGTCGCAACGGACGTGGAAGGGGCTGGGTAGTGATTTCGATATCCAGTACGAGGAGGAGGATGCCAAGGATAGCACGCTGGTGGTGGAAGGGCGCAAGGGTATTGCAAGGGGATATACGGTGGGAGAAACAATAGAGCGACACTAGTTCAGGCCGCCCTCGCTCCCCTGGCGTTCGGAGAACCGGATTGTTGGGCGCGACCGTTGAAAAAGGGTAGAAAGTATGGGAACGAGTAGGGGGGAGGGCAAGGCAAAGCATAGTCAGGTGGAACTAGTGGTTTGCTATTTTCTTTGCATTGATGGATTGATGGATCTGTTTTTTGTGCCCTACTGATGCTGCTGGCACGGCCCAAAGCGGATGGCGAGGTTAGTGGTTGTGGTTGTAGTGGTGGATTGGATCGTCGGGGGGAGAGGACAACACCACGCAGCTAGCAGCAGATAGTGGAAAGAAATTAAGAGGGATGAATTCAATATTCAATAAAATACACTGGGGACGAATGACTAGTGAAGTTGAGACCCGTCAGGCCACAGACTCCGGTGACCCAACGTATATCGTCATAGGAATAAGTCTAAACTCATCATCAACAACATCATCATCATCATCATCATCATCAATCAATCAACAAGCAAAGGCAAAGCAACAATAACCAAAAAGAGTGGCATCCCAACGGGGCCAAGGCGACCTATCACATGATTGCCGGCCGCCCGTTGGATTTTTGTTGCCCATCGCCAATTCTGAGCTGAGTTGTCCAAGCCACCCCCAATCGGTTTGCTGTAACTTGTTCTCCCTCATCTTCCCTCCCCGACCCTCTTTCTCCCTCCATTTCATTCTATCATTCTCCTTCCCGTGGATGGCCACTGCTCATGTCCAACATTTGGGTATAATCCGCCCTCCTTGCGCATGCTCTCCTTCCTGCTTCCCTTATGATGTGCGGCCCTCTCCCGCATTCTCCGCTGTGCTCGCGATCTCGCGTCACTCTAACCTCCAGCTTCCTTTCAGGGGAGTGAAATAAAAAGAAAAAGGTTGTTGAAGAAGCAAAGGGTCCCGCCATCCGATTCGGATCGTCATGCCATCCGTATCTCATATTCCGGGAGTGCCCGCTATCGATCATCGATCGGGCCCTGAGTTGACTACTACTACTATTACTACCACTACAGCCATGGCCGGCAAGCCCAGCGGAGACCAACAGCAGCAACACCTGGTGGATTCCGCGCTCGAACACTCCGTCCTTCCGGCCCAACATCCGCTATCCACCTTTGAACTCGTCGTCACCACCAATGCCCCCATCCTCGAATCACTCCTCTTGCAGACTCCCACCGAGGCCATCCTAGCCCTCTACCATACCTCCCGCTACCTCCGCTCATTCCTCCGCTCTTACCCGACAGCATGGAAATACCTCTCTTTTCGGCTCCTCTACCCCTCTGGCACCCCGCCGCCCCTCCGGGTTGTCTTCACCGGCTCCTCCGAGACCGTCATCCCGCGCCAGTCGCGCCCGTATGCCCTCGACCAGCTGTTGATGAACGTGGTGATTCCGTTTAGTCCGTGCTTGCGCAGTCTGGAGTTGGATAACACAGCTGTGTCGGGGCAGATTTTGATGTCGACGGTACTACATTCGCGGCGCGAGACCTTGGAACATCTCTCCGTACGAGGCTGCAAGAACGTGTCGCTCAAATACCACATCATCCCGTACCTCACGATGTTTGGCCTCCAATATGATGTCAACATGGAGCAAAATATCGGAAGTTCACCGGATACCAAGCATCTTGCACTGAAGAGTCTCTACACGTATCGATGTCGACATCATCGACGACGGCCGTATCTGACGTCCTCCTTGTCGCGCAAAGACTCCGACTCCGAACCCACACATGAGCTGGTCAACCTCTGCCACAAGCTGGGCATCTGGACGGATACCGCGTGGTGCTCGACTCCTGCGGGGAGATGTTTCCGGAGGCGGGGCTACGTGTCTATGCGTGTTCCACAGGGGTCGGCGGAGGTGTGGGTGGTGTTTGATCGGCTGTGGAGGTCGAAGAATTGGATCGGTCCGGTAGACCAGGCGAACCGTCCAGTTCAGCGGGATGCGAAGCTGTGGGAACACAGTGAGACCGGCTACTACGGCGAGGCTTTGGGGACCGGAGAGAGTGGAGACCATGGAGAGGGCAAGATGCTGCCGGCACATTTGCGACGGAGCCATACACAGTTCGTTGAGAATATCCGCTGCGACAACTGCTGCGAGTTGATCCCTGAACGATGCGAGCAATGCAGTATATTGATGCACTGTGTCGGATGTCGAAAGACTCTGTGTGCTAGCTGCGCTTACGAACGGCCTTATCTGCACTGTCGGCCTCGATCGGCATCCAAGGACAGTCCATTCTGGTGGGCTCCTGGAGCTACGATGTCGCCATGTTCTATGCAAGACCCTGTCGAAGATTCCGAAAACACCACTGTAGCCAACAACGCGACTCCCTCCTATCCCGCCCTTACGTTTCATTGGTGCTGCACTGAGCCTATCTTCTCTGGCGGCGGCGGCATCAGTATCGGCACACCGAACCGCGATGTGGATCAAGTACGAGCCGTGCCCCTGCCGCGAGGACAGGGGTGGGAGGACCTGGAGTACTCGGCGCAGGAATGGAGCAAGACGTTCCCGCGGGACGCCTACGGAGACCCTCGCAAGCCCGACTATACGCTGGAGACCGGACACATCGCCATGATGCGATGGCTACTTGGGCCGCCCGACCGACAGCCTGCAGCTTGTCCGCGCAACCTATGCCAGGACTGCTACGACACGCCTCAGTGGAAGGTCCACTGCAAGAGCTGCTCGAAGCCGCTGTGTATTGAGCATGATCTGCGGGGACTCCGCTTGAGGATCTGTGGGTACCGTGATCTCACGCTGGAGAAGCTGGCAATCCAGAACCACGCCGAGAACGGCTCTCGCGGGTTTGTGTCATCGCGGATGCCCTACACGAATTCCGTGCCAGAGTTCGAGCTGCCGTATCGGACGCAGCGGATCCTTGATTCGACTACGAGCAGTTTTACCGAGGACAACCAAGAGGTCTTTCCCGAGGCGAGCAGTAGCGCGTTCGACCATCCTCGGCCCACGCCTTTGGTTCACCGCCGCTCGCGAAGTCTGTCAATCTCGAATTCCAACCGTTCACGCTCATCCTCGCCGTCGTCGGTCTACTGCGACTCGCCGTCCGACCAGCCCAAATGGCAAGGATGTCAGTCCTTTTTCTGTCCGCAGTATCGAGCGGTCGGTGACCAGCGACAGCGGTGCGCCAGCGTTCTCCGCGAGTGCACGAGCTGCTCGGTGTACGTATGCGAGGACTGCACCATCGCGTTCCCGCCGTGCAACTGCTCCTATTGCGAAGCGAACTACCTGTGCCCGAACTGCCTGAAGGTGCGGGAACGAGACGGGACCTGCCGCCGGCCGGCAGAGGAAAAGGCTCGTCGGGAGCGCAAATGGAAAGAGGACATGCGTCTGCTGGAGGGAATCGTGCAGGACAAGCTGGCGAATAAAATGGCAAACAAGATGGCCGAGTATGCCGGCGAGTTCTTCGACGTTATCGAGCGGGAGGAACACGGCGAGGTACAGCATATTGAAGAAGCCTCGACGTATCCTGGACCCGTAGCTGAGGATCTAGGCGAGGAGATATTGACGGACAGTACGGGATGAAAATAAAATATGGCTGGCAGGGATCTACGGGCGTCGAGGATGGGCGGACTGATGATTATTTTCGGAGTTACTCTTTATCTGGGCCTGCATGATATAGCAGCGTGCATAGCAAATGATACTGTTGCGGGTTGCCCTGATGCGCAGGGCGCTGAGGGATCCTGTTGTCCCAGGAGGACAGCAGAGAATATGTGGGTCATTGCTGGAGGAACTGTATGTAATAAAATAATGACATACGATATTCCACCATATCCTACCATTATCTACATTTATTAAGTGTTCTAGTTGCTATGATGTCTACACAAGTAAACGCAGTAGAATGTTGCCCCGCACGCGGAAGCTTCCAGCCATCCAGCCAGTCCCCACCATCTGTAATTCCCTCCAATTCTCCAAACAACTTTCTTCTCTACAAATCTTTCCACAACCAAGTATGACCCCAACTTCCCCCTAATATAGCCTCTTCACCACTAACACAACTACAACTATAGCAGCAAAATGGCCGACGAACAACCCCCCACCCCCGCCGAGCTCGCCCGCCGCGAGGAGGAAGAATCCGCCCGCAAAGCCCGCGAAGCTGCCGAACAAGCCCAGCTGCCTTACAAATGGACCCAAACGATCCGCGACGTGGAGGTGACGATCCCCGTAGCATCGAACATCCGCGGTCGGGATTTGGATGTTGTTCTCACGAAGACGAAAATTCGCGTTGCGATTAAGGGACAGGAGGCTTTTATTGACGTACACCCATCCTCTCCAGCTTTATGATGACTCCACAACTCTCGCTACAATACTAACCTGATACTGGAATCTATAGGGCGAATTTCCCCACCCAGTCATCCCCGACGAATGCTCCTGGACCCTTGAGTCGACATCAAAACCGCCCGGCAAGGAGATCTCGATCCACCTGGACAAGGTGAACAAGGTGGAGTGGTGGGCGCATGTTGTGACGAGTGCGCCGAAGATCGACGTTACGAAGATTACGCCGGAGAATTCGTCGTTGAGTGAGTTGGATGGCGAGACGAGGGCGATGGTCGAGAAGATGATGTATGATCAGAGGCAGAAGGAGATGGGTGGGTTGACGAGTGATGAGCAGAAGAAGAGGGATATTTTGAAGAAGTTTCAGGAGGAACATCCTGGTCAGTATTACTACCTTTTTTTTTTCTTGAGTGTGGGTTGTGCTAATGTGGTGTGTGTGTTTGCAGAGATGGATTTCTCGAATGCGCAGATCGGTTAGGTATATAGTGAGAGGTATATGAATTATGATGTTGTTGGAATTGTATGTTATGCTGGTATGCTATGCTGGTGGAATATAGCTGGCTTCCGTATTAGGACTAGTCTGGTCAGGCACTCCCGTGAGGCTGGCTGCTCTCATCGTCATATGTCATGAGTCTATCTGTCTTACTGTCTTGTTCTCTTCACTTATCAACATTGCATAAGTGCAAGCTATGCACCTTCATGGAACGTAGCAAGGATTAGCAACTTTGGTGGCTGCCATGCAGTCTGTCCTCCAATTTCGTCCTTCTCCCCGTACTTATCATCCCCGGCGCCCGCATCGCAAATCCCGCGCTGGCTGCCTCGTTTGCAAGCAGCGACGGGTCAAGGTATTCCCCTTACTCTTCTGGTCATCGCCCTCTCTAATTGTACTATTCTTAACTGTAGTGTGACGAGGAAAAACCATCCTGCCACCGATGCCAGAAACTCGGGTTCGACTGCAGCTATGAGCCCGAGACCGAAGACAAAGACAGCGTCAGCGTCTTCCTTGCAAGCCCGCCCGATTCAAAAGCGTACTGCATGTCGGTGGATACCGTGACCAAGAAGATCAATGAGATACTGCAGTTGGATTCAAAAAGCGGCCCATTGCCCGTTGTGCAGGCATTGCAGCACTTCCACCATGGCCTAACAAACCCGGCGCTCGGGCCGACAGGCGCTCAATCCGCTATGCAGGCGAAGATCATTCAGCTAGGGTTTAATGTATGCTGGAGTTCATCTTACTAAGGAGTACTCTTACTGACAACATAGTCACCCTTTCTCCTGCACACTATCATTGCAGCAGCCACTTCGCATATCCGTCATCTGGCTTCGGATGGTCGTGTCTATACCTTCACGGAAACTTACCACTGGCAGCAGGCCATTACTCAGTATTCTCGAGAGGTTACCACTATCAGCCCGAAAAATACGGATAGTTTGATCTCTGCGTGTGTGTTGTTGACTATTCGTTCCTTTTCTCTAGATGAATATGACCCGCTCAGCTCGTTTGTCTTCTCAGACGATATTGCCTCCCTGAGCTGGCTGACCTTGCAAGGGGGCTTGCGCCATCTGATCATGGCTACGGCGCAGTGGAAGGCTGGCAGCATGTGGTGGGAGGTATTCGTGAAGTCTCATGATGAGATGATGGATCTCTTTGAGGATGATCGTCCTGGCCGGGTGGCTATTCATCCGGGGCTAGCTGATTTGTGTGGTATCGATGACATGACCACCGCAAAGACGAACCCGTATCATGCGCCAGCGCGGATACTGACAGGACTGCTGTCGCTGGAGCGAGGAGTCCGGAGTTTTTCATCCTACACGGGATGGATGGGGAGGCTGCTACCGGAATTCTTTGCTAAATTGATGGCAAAGGATCCACCTGCCTTGATACTACTGAGTTGGTGGTTGGGTTTGATGTATGGGACGGATATGTACTGGGTGGAGACGCGAGCAAGGTCAGAGATCACGGCAATAACATGGTACTTGGGGGAGGGATGGGATGAGTTCGTGAAGTTTCCAACAGAGTGTATAGAAGACTACGAGAATGCTTGCATACCAGGCTGAGAATAAACTACGATTGATGCTATCTTATCCGCTTATCGATAAAGTGAAGACCGGGAGCGGGGAACTCCACCAATCAGCGATGCGGGGAACGTAGATGCCTGGATGCCGAGGCGCAGCCTCGTCGTGACTTTTGACTTTCTTTCCTCGTTCACTCTCGTAGACATCACCTCTCGCTCATTTAGACAGAGACACGTAGTCTCTGCATCGCATTGACGTGCCTGGTATCTCAATCAACCTTCGTCCCTTTTGCCCCTCCAACCATCAGACACCCGTCAATATCGGAGACTACAACAGTCTGCGAACATCTCCAGCAGACTCACCACCTCACTCCAACAATCATAACACGCACACCTCTTCCAAACCTATACAAAGACCAGGACCAGAAACAATGCTATCAACCCTCCTCGCAGCCCTCTGTCCATGCTCGTGCACCAGCCCGACACCTCCCCCACCACCAAACACCACATCAACCACATCCACAACCACTTACAACCACCACCACCACCACCACCACCACCACCACAACAGCATCCAATACCAACAACCCCCCCTAGAACCCACCCTCACCCTCCCAGCCTACACCCCCCACCCCAACACCGAAACCCTAAACGAAAAGACCCTCGCCCTGCACCTCCGCGACCCGCCCATTTCCTCATCCAGCTACAACAACAACAACAATTCCTTCCCCCTCGACGAGAAACACCCCTACACTACTACATCCACCACCACCCCACATACATCAGAGACGAACTCTGCAGGAAACAATGCAACAACAGCAGACGACGCCTCCTCGCAAATCTCCTTCCCTAGCACAACCCACAGCTACGGAAACACATCCACCGCGACGAGGGAGACGCCGCCTCCGCCGTACTCGCCGACGTGGAGGGGCCACGCAGAGGGGGAGGTCGAGGGTGTGATTTCGCCGGTGCCGTCGTTGAGTTTTTCGGGTGATGGGGAGAGGTCCAGGTCGGTGTCGGTTTCGGGGAGGAGTAGTGGGAGTTGGGGGGAGGAGGGAAGTAGTATTGGCGATAGGGATGGGGATAGAGTGGGGATTGTGGCGCCGAGGGGGGTTTTTATAGCTGGTGGTCATGGTGGTAGAGGAGATGGGTATGGGAGGAGGTGGGGGGATGAGGGGAGTATTGGGGAGGAGTATTATGGGGTTGGGTATGGCGTTAGGGATGGGCATTTGGGGAGGGTGAGTTATGAGAGTGGGAGGAGCGGTGGTGGGAGGAGGGGGTCGTGGGGTGTATAAAGGGTTGTAGTTGCTCCATTTTGTTATCTGGAGGAATGGTTAAATTTGGTTTTGCTTAGGATGGAGTTGGTTCAGGGTTGTATATACGCCTTATAAGGCTTAATGTGGTATGAATATGGGTGTAATTGATATTTAATATACACGTATATGCAATACCAAAGGCTAGTATCGATAGTCGACTTCTTGCCAACTAACTATCTCACTCATCAACCCCAGGTTGACATCTAACATCCCCAATACAAGACGTGTATATACACAACATCAGAAGAAGAAAGAACAATGTCTCACCACTTCCACCTTAAGAGCTCTGGTAAGTAATCTTCAACTCAGAGTCACTGACAACACTAGGCACAGCCTGGACATGGTCACTAGTGCTATCCTCCACAGCCATCAAAGACGAGCCATCAAGACCAATAGTCTTTCCACCAGCCTTAGCAACACAGCCGGTAAAAGTAACCTCACCGAAGTTAATGAAGGTCAGACCATCACCATCGATAGCCAAGTCCTCGACGATCCACTCAGCAGTCTGACCGACCAGAGTCGACGAGCTATCCGGGGCCGAAGCAGTGGAAGTAACGTTCTTGCCGGTAGTCAAGTTCTCAATCAGGGCAGTACCCTCGCTGCTGGAGGTCGACTCGACCGAGACAACAATCACATCACCGATGCTGAACTCCATGTCAAGACCGACAGTGTCAGCAGGGTACCACTCCGACCAGCCGAGGAAGGTGGTCTCGCCGTTCTGGACGTAGATGTCGACACCGGCCTGCCAGATCTGGTTCTGGCCGGTGGCGCCGTCAATGCCGACCCAGAAGGACACGGCCTGGTCATCCGAGGAGGAAGATGCCGCGGTGGGGGTCACGCTGGGGAGGGTGAAGGTGGCGGCCACATAGGAGAAGGTAGCGCTGCCGCTGGTTTCCTGGACAGCACCGGCCCAGTTCTCGTTGACTTCGTAGTTGTCCGACGAGGTGGAGCTGCTCTTGTGGTTGGTGCTGACGGTGGAGGTCACGGCGGGAGCGACCTGGCTGGCGACGCTGGGTTGAGGGGTGAACTGCGCTTGTGGAGCGGCTTGGGTTTGGTAGCCGTTGTTGCTGGGCTGGATGCTTGGCTGGGGGGCAGCCTGGCCTTGACCTTGGCCTTGTCCAGGGGCATTGAAACCCTGGTTGCCGGCGCCAGGGTAGTTTTGATTGGACTCAAATTGGTGGCGGACGTGACCGTGGGGACCGGCCAGGGCGGGAGCAGCCAGAAGGGCTGTCAGAGCCAGAGTAGAGGTGAACTTCATATTGATGGTGGTGAGACAAAAGAAATGTATGTAAAAGAATGAACTGAGCACTGCTCAGGTGATAGTAAGACTAGCTATACAGATACCGGCTCTGGGCTGATATGACAGAAAGAGATGTAGGGAGATGCTGAGGACTTATAGTCAACAGCATCATGGTTGACTGTACCGTTGTGCCATCGATAGTTGTTAGTGCATCAAACTTGAAACGTGGTGCCGCGACTGGTGGAGTCAGCGGAGATTGACGTTTGTTATAGATGAGCATCAGTGTTTCAGGGTGGAGGTTGCAAGCGCATTCGGCAGTGATGTGCGAACGGGCCACTGCTAGCTTTGTAGGGCAATAGCTTAACAGATTAAAGCTCCAAGGGGTTCTTGGCTATTGTTTAATCACCCATCGGCTTGGATAGGTGGAGACATCTCGTCGGGGTAAATACCAGAAGGGGTGAATTGTGAATCAGGGGTAACAGTTTGGCTTTAGATCCTTCCATCTGCCCTATATAGCGGATAATCTATTCTGCATCAGGCCATGATCAGTACTCATGGGATTCAAAGTGGTTGGTCCGATTGCACGCAAGCAGGCAGATTAATCAGTAATTGCAGGCATCAGGGGCAATGGCTCAGCAGTCTAGATCTTCTTCTACTCCTGAACGTGCATAGATCACATGAATGGCCAGATCATTTGTTTGGGGTTTACCTCAATAGTGTTGACCAGGAATTAGCCAAGTTCCGAATGATTATATCGTCATGTAACCTGTGTCTGAGATTATTCTGATGCCTTCTAAGTGGACCCTTTGCGTGATTCGCTCCATTTAGGTCGGCATTTTTGAGTCCGCTTACATAAATCATGAGGATAGTGCTTGAAGATAGCATGGTATTTCCAATATAGAATCACAGGTAGATTGGGCACACTGCTGAAGGGGATATCGATCTACTGTCTTGCAGGCACAGGCACCGTCAAGGCCTTGACCTGATGGAGATGGCCGTCTTAGAGTCGCCAAGCGAGGCCCAAACCCATAGTGAGGTATACCTGTTCGAAGAATCAAGCGATCGGCGCATAGAGATCTAATCTGCAAAGGTATTCTGTGATTAATCTGGGTGATTACTTGGTTTCGTAGATCGAGTCGTTGACAGTCTCACTACAAGCAGCTTGAAGCTCCTCAATTAAGCATGTACCAACTGTTCTGGCATTCCTGGTAGGATCATGCTAACGTCACAGATGCCCATATTCCCATCATTGGCAGCAACGGCTTGTTTCGAAATGCCGAGCTGTACGGATTATGACGGTTCGTGGCATCAGATACCACTTACACGAAGATCTGCCCACACATGACTGGTATACCGACGAAGACATCTAAAGTACAACCAATCGGCATCAAGCTGTCGTATTGGCCAATTCCGCAGTCTCGAGGGCCTTCCTGGCTTCACTTCCGCAAAGTTCTTCGGGACTAGATCTTCACCTTGTTGATAGATTCTTCTGGAGTTCTACCACTGATGCACTCTCCGTGGTGGAACACGTATGAGAGCTCGGTGTCTCACTCTGTCACCTCAATGGTTTGACGGCGCCATCCCATTTGAATTTGGCGATCGCTTCGATATGGAGCAATCCGACTTGAAACTGATCGGAAACACATTCCTCCGGGTTCAGTCAATGGTCGTTAACTATATTGAGCAATGACTTGGTAATTGTAGAGAAATTATCAGAGGCCATACATAGCAAGGTCGCGTAGTTGAACAAGAAGACATGAACAGCCTAGAAGGCTGTCTGAGGGAGTTGGAGAGAGTGTAAGTTGTTGAAAGAAACGCGACGCGTGATCAGGCTGCAATACCTTTCTGCCTGAGAAATGAAGTCACGTGTTAATTGGACCGATTGGGAAGCCCGTCGCAGAGGATGGATGAATGAACGACCACATGATCACCTTTCGCTTTACTTATCCATCAGGTCCCACATCTCGCCATTTTGACAGCCTATAGATTTTCACATCGTACAAAAGCATTGGCTGTATTCATGACTCGCCGTGGGTGAATCATGATTTAAGCCTGCGGGGCAATCAACCGGCGACCCGTAGCGACGATCGCTCTACGGCAACCATCGAGCCATATCCCTTCTTGTGAGTATCATAACACGCTGTTATGTCTAACAACTTATGCTGACGAGATAATCCAGTCTGTGATGCAGCGTATTCTACCTAAATAATGGATTCGAAAGCTACTCTGGGCAGCATCCAGAAAGCCGTCTGGGCCGGAAAGCTACCCTTACAAATCACCTTGGCTCCATCAGAGAGCCGTACATTTGACCAAACAGATCCATACCTAGTACGTCCTCTTTTGGTACCTGATGAACTCGGAGCTAACTCACTCAGATCTCCTGCCCCCGCGTATCATACCTACCATCGCTTCTCCCAAGGCTGAGAGCTTTCTTCGCCCCCTCCCTTATTGATCCCGGCTCCCGCCCGCATGAAGGCTGGTTCTCCTTCGAGGGAGTTCCATTGAAATGGCACTACCCAGTTGGCCTCCTTTATGACCTTTATGCTGGAGCTGATCCTGCCTCTAAAGGAGGTGCTGACACTGACTTGGCATCTACATCGGATGAAGACCCTTTACCATGGCGTCTAGTCGTGCATTTCAGCGACTGGCCCGATGAAGAACTCGTCCGACTCGATGCAGATGGGATAGTGATGCATGATGCTTTCATCAATAGTGTCAAAGAAGCAGATTTCCTGAGGAACGGTACCGCCAAAGGAATTATGACCCTTTCCAGGGAGGATTCAGCGGGGCTCTGGGAGTCAGTCAGAGATGGTACGTTATTCCACTGTCGCTTACATGGTTTTGACAGCAAGATCAAAGGGCTGAACATACTTCCAGTGGACCTGCCAAATTTCCAGCGAATATCCAACATTCTCCTACCACCACAGTCCCAACCGTTCCGCAACATACCTGTCCGGTTCTTTCTCCCCCTCCCCCCAGACTCAGACTCGCCCTCTCTCAAAGTAGTCCAGTCTCCTATTCCACCAACAATTCAGCCAATCTCCGGACCTAGCGCCAGTGTCATGGCGAGCCAATCTATTTTAAGCACATCCAGAGGGCCCCAACCACAGACCATAGGGTCAGCACTGCACTCGCTTCTACCGCATCTGTTTCCTAGTCGAAGGACACCTGTCCTGGCGAAGCCAGTATTGCATGGTGCCGCGGTGCCAATGAGCGCACCGCTAGACGAAGTGGTGAGATGCTCGGGGTATGGCGATGGGTGGCTTTACATTGTGATCAGGATGATGGGGTGATATATTATCATCTCATTGGCAAAGAGTGATTCAGCATGAATGGCCTGGTATTGACGTTGTTAGATAGCGTTGATGTCATCTGATATTGCCAGTCCCTTATTATGTTAGTATAATTGCACATCGTACCTTATATTTCCTTTTTATACCCCAGGGTTAATGGCTGATATTAGTTGCGATCATTACACTAACCAAGAAGGCTTTTGTACACGATAGTCCTATACTTTGCAATGAATGACAAGTTAGTGGTTGTTGATGATAGATAAGTAGGTATAAAATTCTCGCTAGGCAATGGCATGACTCTAACAGCACTTATCAAAATTGACAGAGGATTAGTGTTAGTATTTCATGTGAGGTGTCTGTGTAAGCATGTGGAAGTGAGCCCACTCCTCCGTCCATTGCTAAACCGGCAGGTTACTGGGAGAAGATTATCAGTGATGTAGACAGAAAGTGTCCACCATTCACATCACTATCGAGTCATCACTATCCAAGTCTTAGTCACCTCACAACTCCACAACTAGTATAACGATAAGTAATAGGAAGAGGAACAGTACCAAGTATAGAAACACATACTCCATGCAGCACAACCGCGCCTACACGGAAATAGTATCAAAGAAAGAAGAACTTACTAAAAGTGTCTATCAAACTAAGATCTTAATTTAGAAATATGTGAAACTCAAGGGACTATCTAGATGCAAGATGGAGATCGAAGACCCCAAGATAGGTAAGTGTAAAGCATGCAACGGCTGTATGGAAAGGCGTATCGAGTGTAAAGTAAGACCCGTACGGTCAGTAACATACCAGTATGATACAAGAAATACAGATCGTCAGGGTAGAAGATCATATCTAGATCCTGAAATAGACATAGCAAGCAGGGGGGATGTCGCAAGCGCAAGAGGTATGACTGGATGGAAGGCAGAAAGTGGAGGTATGAATTGCTTCATCCAGTTCTATTATTATCGTGGCGCAGGAAGGGAAGTGGGAAACGAGATTAGAAACTTGGGGTGGTAGGAGGGTAGCGTGCAGTTGGCGGTGATGGTGATTTGCATCAATGGGAAATGCAGGTAGGGGCTTAGGGTAAAACGCAAGCGCGGTTTGGATAGGACAAAGTTGTTGATGATTGGGGGAGAAGTAAGGTAGTGGATGAGATTAATTGTGATGCTGGGTGGGAAGAGGGGAATGATGGTGGTAGAATGAGAAAAGTTAGTATGTTGGCTTCATGCTAGTGCTTTGGATGGTCCAATAAGGGAAGGGAGAAGATAGGCTCTAATGCTCGAGGTTAAAGATTCTATATGTGACTGACTAGTAGCTAGAGAATAGTAGGATAAGAATAGTAAATCATTTCTGGTTTCTGTGGTTTAACTGGTCAATGGAAATTTGAAGGGGGGTTGCTGTGGAATGTTAGTGCTGCCCCTCAAACAAGCGGGAAGGTTCAGAGCGCAACGCCCGCCCACTCAGCAGACTTTGTGATCCTTGTCTGATTTTCACCGCAGCCTAACGACGTTAACGCTAAGTATTTTGGAAGGATTTACAGCCCAAATTTGGTCAAAGTAGATGCGAAATAGCTATCTTCTATCACGTTGCTCCCAGTCACCCAATTCATGTTCTGTCAGTTTCTCCTTTGGTATGCTTGTAGTTGAAGAGTATCTCAACCCATCTATCTACAAATATAATAGCACCGGACTTAAATATGGCATAACCAACGACTGCAGGAAAGCTCAAGTAGAGGTGAAGTTGAGATTGGAATGATTCCAAAAATAACTCCCCGCCAACCAGAAAAACCCATGTGCTGCAGGGGACCTCCTCCCATGTGGGGACGGAGATGTCTATCTAATAGGGCCAGAGAATCGCACCAGAAAGATCTCAAGAGAGAGTGGAAGCTAGTGTTTGGGACTAAAACCTGGGACGTAGACAAATATAGAGCAGCGGCTCTATGCCGGAGGCAACTGGCTCGAAGTTTGCCTGATAGAGGTACTGACTGTTTGTTAAACATGGATATGGTCCGATCCTGCCCTTCACGAAGGAAGGTGGAGCATGGAAGCCATTAGTTACGATTACTGGGCGGTTAGCTGAGCTTGCCCTGGCCTCTGAGACTAAAGATAGCAAGATCAGACAGGATGGGGATAGATGAACCCTCTTGCATCGATATGGGCGGGGGTAGCATTCTGATGTGTTCTAAAAATGGATTCGTCAGGGCCTGTGATGTGATCTGGCGGCTAGTAAGGCTTAGTAGCAGAGAAGAGCTTCGGGGGGGAAGAAAGGTCCTCTCCAGGTAATGGGGAGGGGGTAAGGTGCGAAATCTTGCATATGTGGGTCAGGAGGGCGCTTAGAGGCTATAAATAGAATATCACACGTGCTGAGTGATATGATTCGTTTAAGTGAGGATATGGAAACACGCATGGGAAAGCGCAGGCATATCGCAGGTAGAACCTCAGAAAGGGGATTGGCACATGCGGAAAGACCGTCATCAGAATGGGAGCACAAGATGGGTGCCAAAAATAGCACCTTTTTGCCGCGGGTGATATCGTGGCTGCAAGCTAAGAGTGAATAGTCTGTTGACAGCAGCCAACAAGCGCTTAATGTCAGGATGTTGTATGCATGATCCATGTCCCGCCAGTCTGATTTCCCCGCAGTGACAGTGTCTGTGCACCAATCAAGCCGATCCCTGGATGTGAACGGGATCAGGGATTTAGGCTAAGCCGAAACTGGGGGAGAAGCCCGTATCGCGGCACTTTATTGGTGGTTAACGAATTTAGGCATTGGATGCCCACCACGGTAGCGCAGGAGCTCGAGGTTTGGTAGCCCAAAAGACCATGAACTGCCCAGGCTCTTAACCACCCTTTTGAATAAGGCTATGGATCCAAAGCGAATTAACGGAACTTGATAGGCGGAGAGTGTTTTAACGAGATATGCATTCTCAAAGACTGTTACTTTTCTAAGCACCCATTGAGCGGGTCCTATAGTCACATTCGAGAAAACGCATGTTAATTGCGTGAAATGGTGACTGCCGTGCATCGCAATCTCCGAAGCCTGTCCTAAAACACAACATCATCCCGTTCCGACATGCATGAAGTAGGTCTTACTACCCAGTGCGCCGAAGGCGTACGCAGGGATTAAGAAAAGTATCAAGCAAATCAAAATGCAACCATGGATCATCCATAGACCCACGCAACAAGGTTGAAGAGTGTAATCGCACTAAATTCCATGCAGCTCTATGCGAACGGTTGATTTAGAGAGCCTATGAAGGCACATGTTGTCCACCAAACTAGTAGCTAGGTTTGAGGTCCATAGTCACCAGAGCATAGGAGTATCTTATTTTAGAATCAAATCATCTCCACAGGGTTTTGTTCAACATTCGCATGCGAGTTCTCTTTGGATGAGAATGTCGTCGTTTGTCATAGATCACAAAACGGTGCGGGATGTCTGTTTCACCAAATCTCTAGGCTCTGCGACATGATAATTTCCAAATATACGCGCCAATGAGAACCTAAATGCACTATTTAATATAGATATGATTCTATTTCACCGGTAAAGTAGATGGAAAGGTATAATTATGATGTCTTCCTTACCTAGTTTCAGGTGATGGTGATGCTTGTGATACGCCGTAATACCTGTATATCAGTATGCCGTATAATACCAGTTCCAAAACAACCGTCACTTATCTGGTTACCGTTTAGATCTGAATTCCAACCGGCATGTCGAATCCTGTAGTGTATCAGAAGAAAATAACCCTATCTGGCATTGACCTATGGATATTTCTCTGAGAATACCTCTGGATCTTGGATTGGACATTGCCGGTGGATCCTCTGGTGGTATGAAGGTGGCTGAGAGGCTCAGCAAGAACACATCCGCGCTAGGGAATCCTTTGGGACCAACGAGGACGTCACCTGTGTGGTGCTTACCCAGTCAACGGTATGTTTGTGGGTAAATTTACTCGCGAGTAGTATCTACTGGGACCATGTGGGAGACACGTGGGTTAAAGGAATCTAGTGAGGATTCTTCCTGGCGTCAAAGCGGGATGAAGTCCTATCAGCTGCATTTCGCTAAGACTGCCTGCGATTCCTTTGAGGCTATGCCATGGCCAGATTTCTGAAAAGGATTGCGATTAGGATGATTGTGATAACAAAGTTCAGGTGTTCAACTCGTTTAATTGGGTAACATTGCAAGCCTAACTCAGAACAATAGATGCCGCTGAACCAAACATAATTGACAAAGGAATATCCTAAACATGTACTAGCCACTCAATTGTAAACGAGGCTTTTTTTCCCAACACAAACAGAACTACACACTATGCTCCAACTCCATTCCTTCCGCCACAGGCAGTACCAGACCGCCGTAAGGTGGATGCTAACCCCTCTAGTAGATGTCAATGCCAAAACAAGCTCCATATGCGATGATTCCCACCGAGTAATAACAAAACATAAACAGAGTAACCATAAGATGTAGCAAGAACAGCCATATGCTGGGATAACAGAGACTTAGCAGTGCAATAAATGAGAAATATACACCAGCAAAATTGGATGCGATCCTCCAAACTCCGTAAGCGCAAAGACATCAAATCCGTCTAAGTCATGGTCGTCGTAGCGTATCCTTAGCGCTCCTGGGATTCGTTGGTCCTTCTGCGTTTGCCCCTTGGTGGGGGTTCAAGTGAAGGCGCGCGCTTGAGATTGACAGTGTGTGTAACAATATGTTGTATGGTAATGGTTCTTCCGTTCGAATCACTTGAGCTCTCAATATACCTTCCCCTCCGATCAGCTGGTGAAAAGGGTGTTCTTAGAGTGAAAGGACTCTGTGGGGATTCAGTTGTTGCTGGGGAGTACGGGTACTGTGGTGAAGCGCGGAGGTGGCGTGCAGAGATAGGCTCCCTTGCTGATCGCGGAGGCCCACGTGATGATGGGGGAATTGAAGTAGGACTAGACTTGGGTACACTTCCAGGAGGAAAGGTTGCGCTTCTAGCAGTGGGAGGCATCGAGACAGGTGATGGTAGAGCCCTGCTCCTCACCCATCTTGTGTAGCTTCCATTGATACCTTCGGGGCCCGAGTAAGCC